AAGCCACACTCAAGGCTCCCTGGACATGCCTGAAAAAGATGACCTTGAATCTGAAATCAGACAACTTTAAATCAGGTAAGGCTTTTGACTTTTATGGACCTGTTCTCTGAATTTTTGATCACACCCTATAAAATACAACATAAGAAGGCTTGGTTTGGTCTTTCTGTCAGAGTAGATTTACATATTAAAGTTTAGACAATATTTTTAGACTGACTTTTATGTGATTGTCATAGTCCAAGACGGTTATATTTTAATCTAATTTGTGAGAGCGTCTGGATTCATTAAAATGAGCAGAGCTGCTTCATCAGAAGAACTGTGAACAAGAGTAAAAGCCAATATTACCACAACAATAAAAACCTTTAAGAAAAATATGATTCACAGTTCTTTGCCTCTAGGGAGACAGACAGGAGGGTTACAGAAACCTATTTTTTCCTGGATGGGGAACAGAATAAAAAGCGGAACTGATTTATTATTATTTTTTACAATGACAAAATAAACCAACAAGAAACCTTCTGAAGCCAAAAAAATTTCCAGAAATCATGCACTAAGGACTACTGAACATAATGGTTTTTCAACATTTGCCATTCAACATTTGCGTGAATAACACCAAGCAGGGAAAATCACATTGTGTCTTATTTTGTGTGGCTCAAAAGTGCTAACCAATATCAACAGCTGCAGAACTAAAATAATGTGCTCCCCACCTGGCAGCAGCGTGCATGGATAAGCTTAACCTGGGTGCAAAGGTTCTGAATAAAATTAATTTTACTACTTTCCAATTCTCTCCCATAAATCCCTGTGATTGGTTTCAGGAACCCCAGAGCTAGATCTGTTATTAGCGAGAAGGGCTTTATAAGTATCATACTGGTGCCTCGGCTTCATAAATAGCCCCACTGTGTAGAATCCAGGCGGCAGGCTAAAGTAGAGGAAGACAGACAGAAATCACTCTTGGTAACAAGACGTCCTTCTTATTGTTCTCCCCACTTATGTCTTGTGTTTCTCAAGCTTTAGTTATGATCTTCCTGTCTGGAAATCAACGAGCAGATCCAGGGGACTCCTCTGTACCGCTACAGATTAAAATCGAACACTTTTGTTGTCACATACAACAAAAATGTGGGTTTCTCCTTTGGGAAATGGAGCACACATGAGTGGAAAACATTGACCATCTGTAGGCTTTCCAAGCACTCCCTGTTTACCAGCTCATCAGAGTCTGACAGATACAGTCTGTACAAAAATAATTCCAGCATTTTATAGCTGATATCCTTCAGTAAGACGTCTTTCAGTTGTACACTATGTGCGTGAAGATGTGGGAACCCTGTTGAGTTTTTGTTAGGCAGGAAAGAAAAACAATGAGGTAGACAAAACAGGCAATTCTTCAGGCGCTGTCCAGTGCTGAAACCACAGAAAGAGCCAACAGGGAGCTTTTCATTTTCCAAAGATTAGCTCAGGCAAGGAAATGCAGACATAATGGTAAAATAAGCAGCTTCTTAGTATTTGCTTCTCCTCTTGGGTGTTTTAGAAGGTGAATGATAGAGACATGGGCCAATTCAGATTTACTGATGTGCCAAATGAGTTTAACAAAAGAGGCAACACACTGAACTGGCAAGACAAAGGGGAAAGGAAGGCATCACAAAAATCCACCTTCAGGAATAATTTCTCCAATCACTGGAAGATACTCAACTGTGCTCCTGTCATTAATTCAGCAGACAAAAACTGTTACCAGATGTCATTACTTATTTATAGTATTTAATAGTGAAAATGCTTCTTTTGAATAATACATTTGGTGAGAGCGCTGGATTTGGGGAGGTGGGGATGGAGAGGTTGACTGATGAATATTCACAAGCTGCGTCTGGAGGGATTGTGCTAAACTACCTTTTTTTCTGCCTCTGTGCCTCCTGGGCTTTGTCTGCTCTGCCACTTGCCATGATGGCCCAGCTGCGCTGCTCATTTGCTTGGCGCTACGCACAGTGGCTAGTTCAACATGGTTAATGCCAGGCTATTATATTATTAGCCAAGGCAAAGCTAGCAGCAGCCCACTTAGGCTCCGCTCCATCTGCTTGGTGGTGTCAGGTTGGAGGAATGGAGGGACCCAGAGCTGTCTATCAAGGAGACTGACGTCGTCCAGCGAGCAAAGGTACAGCATTCATTAAACCAATGAAATGACCCTGGGGCTGGGGGAACAGAGGTGCCAAGTGGATCCTGGCCTAAAATGTGATCTATGGTCGTGTGTGCTCAGGGTTCTGCTGCGACACACGTGTAACTTGAACAGACAATAGCAAGCGCACACTCTCATGATCATTTATACAAACAGAATTGAATATGCGCGTAGGCTGCTGTGAGTGTTTTCACTGCCTAATTGGATCCAGGTTATGTACTGTAAGTGTGTAAATTAGTCTCTCACTGCAGGAGTCTTCCAGTATCCCTCCTGGCCTTTCTCCCACCATGGGGGGAAAAAAAAACTACCCCCATTTGTAACATACGTCGTGAGCCTACAGCTCTGAACCTTTATCGAAAACACACAAAAGAAAAAACATATTAATAAATGTTCCTTCCCACTGTAAAATTACACACAGCAGGATCACAGCTGATTCATAGCACCACACTCTTACAACTACAGGATTTCAAGCTGGAGGCCTTTGCCAGTCAAACAGTCTAACTCAAGCCCAGAGATCTTCTGTACTGATATTGTGCAGTTGCTTGGCAGCTTTCCCTTGTTTCATCCTGTGCCAGGGCGGCTTTGTTTGTTTTAAGCATAGCAGAAGGTTCATTGTAGGAATATTAATGTCTTACATTTGCGAAATCTCTGTAAAAATTCACAGTTTCCAATTTACTTGCTTGGACACTACTCAAGTGCAAAATTGAATTCTGGCCCATTCACGTCTTCCGCTACAAGTGTCTGCACTAAGCTGAGCGCAGCCAACCAGAAAAGACACATTATTGAAATATGTGACAACGCAACCTCATGCAAAGAGCAGATAATGCTGTAAAACTCCCACAGTCTGTTACATCCCTTCTTCATTCTCTTTCTTTCTTTCTCTCTTTCCTCTTTCGTTCTGTCTTGCTTTTCTGTCCATGCTCATGAGATGTGATGACAACATTTCCGAACTGCTTTTGGCCTTGACCGCAGTTGGAGAAGAGCCACTAAGAAGCGATGAACCACTCTCTAAAGGAATATTGTTCATCCATTGTAATGCCTCATCACACAGAAAATGTGAAAATGGGGGCAGTGAACTGGCAATGCCACAGAAAAAGAATACCTCTTCTGAGAACAATAGCGCTAACAGTAGAGCCTGCGATCCAGTGCAAGAGTGATGAGTGAGAGTCCAAACAGTGCAGGGCAAGAGAAAGAGACACAAAGACAAACACAGAAACCTTCTGCAATATGCATGAGTGGACAAGGCAGAAAGAAGCAGAGGGACTTAAACAGCAGTTTAATGTGCAGCCAGATACTAATAGTGCAACAGGAGCTGATGATGCCCACATCATCCAACAGCAAAACTCAGCAACTGGAAGCATCGGTGGCCACACACACACACACACACACACACACACACACACACACACACACACACACACACACACACACAATTATCAGATAGACAAAGACCTACACATGGCTGCCCAACCAGTGAGAGGAGAATGTTTTATCTACAATCAGTCACAGAATGAAAATGAGGCTGGTCAGTTTGCAGACCTGGAGTATCAAGGATCACATTGCCAATGCTAAGCCCAAACAGATTCAAAAGATTTGTGTAATTGTGGGAGATTTGGAGAGATGGAATATCAGATAAAAATAGTGCATAATCTGTTTGGCTGAAGACTGCTTAGACAAATGCTAGGTTGGCTGGCTGAGTGAATGTGTGCACATGTATGCAAATACCTGAGACACACAATTATAAGACAGAATAAGAACCCAGCGAGAGTGAGAAAAGGGAGGGAGGGAGGCTAGTAACCATTTCACAAACAGTTTGGCTGAATTTCTGCTTAATTTCCCAGGGGGTCATGAGCAACTCCACTCCAGCTCCATTGCCGTTCTCTGACAAACATGAAAAATGAAACAAAACTTTACTTTCTTTTTCATCCACAAAAAACACTCCTGGCTGCTACACAGGCAAATGAAAGCCATGTCCACACAGGACTGAACCGTGGCATGCAGGCTGGGCTGGACCGCCTCCTTTTCAGTCAGTTTGTGACCTAGAGCTCCTTCTGCCAGATGCCAGCCTTTCTTCAGTAGAAATAATTGAGAGACCCTTTAGGTGGAGTACAAGTGCCATCCAAGATAATGTCTCAGGTTTCCCTCCTTTGCTTCGCTGACAGCGCTGACAGCCCTGCCTGCGCTGCCTATCGACTTACACCCACTCCAAAAGCTCCCTCTATCCCCATCTGCCTCACCTGAAGGCTTACCAAAGGAGAAGAAAATGGGATTTTCACTACAAAGAAGTGAGCTCATGGTCATACAGATCCAAATCGTACAGTAACCGGCGCTGTCAAACATCCTTTTGAACATAAGCAGCCTCAAAGGAGAAAATAAGAGGGAGCGACGCTTTGCTACATTTATTACTTTTCAACAGATGCTGCATAATTGGACAATTACGATGTAATTCAAATAGACAGAAAACAGCAAAATCGCTTAACTTTTGTCAAAGTGCATTTTGGAGTCTTATTAAAACTAAATCACCAACACAGCAAAACCTAAAAAGATTAATTGAAAAATAGCCTTATGGAAGCAGTAACTAGCTTCAAGCAGTGAATCGCATGCTTGCAAAGACTACACACTTTTGCGATATAAAGCACATTTCTTTTGGTAACAGCCACATATCTTTGTCTTTGAATAGTACCGACAAGGACATTTCCAAATGATGATCGACTTTAAGTGAACAAAATTCGTGAAACACCCATTTCGTTTCGTGGAATTAAAATAATGTTAAATTGACTTAATTTTATAATACAGTCAGACAAATTCATAAATAAATAGATATGCAAAAACACACAAGACTACTCGCCTTCACCTTTCAGATCAAGTCAGGTCCCGTCTACAGGAATGTAGAGCGATGCCGCAGCTTTACAGGAGCGTCTGTGTGATACAGTGCAGGTGGTAGCGCCACAGTCAGGGAAGCTGAACCATCCAAGAGACGCGTAAAAGCCCCGCGAGTCCGAGGAATTTCTGTCAGACAGGGAGACAGGGTCTGTGTCGTTTCGTGTGCAGTGCGCCTGGATGCAGAGACGTGTCCTTGCGTCTTTCGGGGACTTGTCGAATCAGCAGCAGCGATGAGTGGATGAGCGCCAGCCAGAGTGGTGCTCACCTCTCCAGCAGCTGAGCGCTACTGAACAAAAGAGTGCTCCGCAGGCTCTCTATTCAAATAGCAGGAGAGA